ATCAAACAAGGTTGTTGCACATTTTTTTCAAGAATTCGAATAGACTACGAGGAAATTTTTCAAACAACTAGAGTTTGCTGTCAAAATATCCAAGATCTTCAAGAACCAACTTAGGATTATCAAGAACTGCCAAGATTGATAATTTCTCAGCCTAGAACTTCAAGAAAACCAAGAATTTGATTCAAGACTTCAAGAAACAATCAAGATCAGCCCACACAACCCCAAGAAAGTGCAAGACTCAAGCAAGAAACAAACAAGATAGCCTCGGATGGAAAACAACACGCAAACAGATTTCATTTGTTTGGATCAAACAACCACAAGAAATATGAAATCAAGAACAAGAATTCAAGAATCAATTTAGGGTTTTCAAGATTCAATGAGTTTAAGTTCAAGAATCCATGAAACTCTAGAATTGCTCCAAGAACTTCAAGACTTTAACCAAGACAATTCAAGAATTTCAAGACAATGTCAAGAATCAATTCGGATAGCAAAGATCAACTACAAAAATGGCCATGTTAACAGAGACAAACACAATGAATAGCCATAGAATTTTTTTGGATGAATAATACCCACGGATGAACAGTAGCGATGAACAATAGTAATGAACAGTATGAATTTTTTTATGAACGACTCAAGGAACAAGGACACATGAACAAGAAGACATGGCTGGAAAATAAAGAAACAACTAACAACTTGACCGGAACCCTGGAAACTCTAGAACAAGAATGACACAGAAAAAAGTATATGACTTTGATACCTTCAAGCAGCTCTAATGCCAACTGATATGATTTACGGCCCGTTTGGCAAACGATTTTTTTTGGGTGTTTATCTAAAATTTTACTATAACTTACTATAGAAGTTGTAGAAAAAATTTTTAAATAGAAAACTTTTCTTTCTTTTTTCCTTCTTTCTTTTTCTCTTTCTTTTTGTTTTTGTTTTTCTTTCTTTCTTCTCTTCTTTTTCTCCCCTCCCCCCCATTTCCCTCCCCGCTGGAACAACAACAGACGTCGGCCTTCTTTTTTTTTTTTTTTTTTTTCCTTTCCTCTTACCCTTCCTCCTTTTCTCCCTCTCCCTCTCCCCGTCTCCTCCTCTAATATTTTTTTGGGTAAAATACAAAAAAGCCCTCTGTGATAAATCATATATATAGAAAAGTCTCCCGTGATTTATTGGAACCTAAAATAAAAATTTTATATCTAAATTTTAACAAATATACATGTTCTATCTTTAACCCTCAATTCTCTCTATCTAAAAAATAAAACAAATATTTTGAAACAACGAGAGAACTCCCCGTACCACCACGGCACTACATACCCGTCTGAATTTTTTAAACAAGGTCACATTTAATTATGACAAATTGGTGGGAGGCAAGATTTGAACCCTTATCACCTACCCCATCAAGCCTTAATGCATTGGTGGTGACCACCAACCTAAAGGTTGATGGTTTCTATAGGTTTTCTGATTTCTAATATTTGATCTAGAGGTTTTCTAATATTTGAGCCTGTAAGTTTTATCCTCCAAAGAAACAGCAAAGCAAAAAATCCCATTTCACAACAACCAGCGACAAGGACAAAACTTGCAACAAATGTAGTAATCAAACAACTCCTCAAGCAGTTTTCTCCTTTTGTACTGAATCATTTCAATAAAATGAAAAAAAAAATTACGTTACCAGAAAACTATGGAGCTTTGATGGAGATTCGGGCTAGGGTGAATGATGCAATCGGGTGCTTTAAAGAGCAAAGTTACCCTCTCTTTCTCCCTGCAACTCATCAGAGAGAGGCAGAAGGAAAGCGAAACTGAGAGAGAAAAAAACTCGAGTGATTGGATGACTACTGGCTGGAATACTTGCCGTCTCCGACTGTGGCACCATGTGGAATTGGGTAGAACAGTGGGAGGGGAGGAGGAGGGGGAGAGGGGAGTGGGGAGAGAGGGAGGGGAGGAGGAGAGGGAGAAGAGAGGAAAAAATAAAAAGACAGAGACCAGATTTCTACTGGCCAGATTGCCGGAGGAGGTAGCCTGCGCCGGAAGAGGTGCTGGCCGGCATTAGACGTCGGCAAAAGTGGTGGTGGGTTGAGGTGGGGGAGAAGAAAAAGGAAGGAAAGAAGGGAATTTTTTTTAAAAATATTTTAAAGTGTGTATTTTAAAAATTTTGAAATTTTTTTAGATTGTTATAATTAAAGTTATTAAAAAATTTATAAAAAAAATTAAACAAAAAATTATTTACCAAATAGGGCCAACGTCCTATTTCCACATACAGAAGACTCAAGATCTAGAATTGGATGATATCGAAGCTTAGCAGTGGAAACCTAATTCGAACTTGGACAGCACAAGATCAATTAGGTTGATAGGGCCTACAATCAAGTGTGTTTTTTATTGATAAGTTGAATGAATATCTTAGAACAACTCTAAAATACTCAAAGAATGCTTACAAAAAGCCGAGTGAATTCTCTCAATTTTTATTACTAGAGTAATCGTCTTCCTTGTTATTATAATTAAAGGAATGGCTATTTATGGCCAAAACTAAGCTATGTAGACTAATCCGAAGTGGATAAGGAATCACTGGTCTTATCCAATAACTACTATACTAATGGACACACGATCCATTAAACTTATATCGGGCCGAATTTATTGAAGAAACAAACTATAAAATAGACTAAATAATGACTGAGGAACTGGTCAAAATAAGGGTCTGTTTGATAATATAAAAAACAGTGGTGAATCTGAATTTTTTCAGACATTCAGATGTTTTGAGTGTTTAATAAATGAAATTCATTTGCTGAACTTGTTAAGTAGTGCTGAGTTTGTGTGTATTTTTTTCAGCACAAAAATCCTAACTGAATGCTTAATTATGATAAAAATCAATAAAATTACTTCAATTACCTTATCTTATCTACCAAATCTACCATTGTTTGTTAATTATGTTCAAAATTCTTATCTAATTAAACAATCTAATATTCTCTATCTAATGATTTTCTATTTCTTTTTTCTCCATTTTGAATGATTTTCACATCTTCTCCGTACTCTTCATATAATATATTTCATCTTTTATATTAATTTGATTTAAAAATAAATATTGTCATTTTCATACCTAACATTTTTAACTAATTAAATCATAGGTTCTATTTCTTTTTTGGATGAAAAGATATAAGGGCAAATTTGTCAAATTTAACTTATTAAGCATTCAGTTATAAAATGTTTATCAAACAGTATAAATAGGTTTAACATTAAAATTCAGACATTCATATATTTCTTTTTAGTGTTTAAAGTTTAACAAATTAATTGTTTCAGTATTCAGATTTCAGAATTCAAACTTCAGAATTCAGATTCAGTTTTATCAACAGAACCTTAAACATGGCACAAATGACTTGAGACAAAACAAGCAAGTTTTGATCCGCTTCTTGTGATCCATGAGCAGCTCATCCAACTAGAGTTTTGCGGCAGATCCATCAACACCACAATGACTTGAATTAGGGTCTTAATTGGCAGGTTCTCAAGCTTGATTCCTTAGCTCGGACAAGTGTATAAAGTTCATTTCATGCAGGTTCAACACCTTCTATGTATTTGAATAACATGGACCAAAGCTTGAATTAAAGCCTTATGCATATTTAAAGGTCCGCTTGAATAGTTCAACACTTAGCTCGGCAACCTTGGGAATGCAAAAGCAAGCAACCAGATTTACATCATTCTTCCTCTCTTGAAAACGATTTGTCCTCACATCCAGCCCTTGCTTGCAATAGAGCACATCGGGGAATGTTTAGATGAATGCAACAAAAGAAACACGCCTTCTTTCAATTTGAATAAGATCCAAAACACACGTTCTAGCTCACATTCCATTTGCCATGTACATGTATCCAAGAACTCATGAACATCAACTCCAACGGATAGGATAGCTAATGCATCGCAATGAATTCTTGGACCTTTATCAGAAAATGTCAACATGGAGGATTGTTGTAAGAAGATGCTTTTCTAGCCCAATGGTTACTGCATCTGATCTTGCATATCAATTCGTGTGAAACATTCAAATGTTGTTTTAGAATTCGTGTGACGTGCATTTAACAGACACTTGTTAATATATCTGATACATTATCCATACATATGCACACATCTACATTTATTGCATGTCTTACTAATAGATATTTTTGCACTTCAATTTGACATCCTTGCTAGCTCCAAGGCGAACCCTTTCTGTCAAGGTCTAGAATTATTGAATCTGTGGGGCTATATGGGAAGATAAAGCGAATAAAATTTTATCCAAAGTCAAAAATATGAATTGAATTTCTTGGATGACACCACTTGAGGGACAAGGCTTGGGCTTAATATACAGCGGTAAGGGTGACCTCTCATCCCTCAATTTAATTCGTTTTTGAATGTTGGGAAAATGGTCAATTTCGTCCCTAAACTTTTTTTTCGTGTCAATTTAGTTCATGTATATTTTTTTTAGCCAATTTGATCCTTATACTTATTTAACGATTCCAATTGAGGAACTCTGCGGCGGCGCCACCGTATAAATTCAATTAAATAACTAATTGAACAATTAAGCAAGGGTATTTTGGGTAGTTCATTGTTGGAACAGTAACAAAAGAAGTAAAATCCGGCAAAAGGACCCAATTAGCTTTTTATAATTGCAATAATCCGGCAAAAGACCCAATTCTATTCTAAACTTAGAATTGGGTGCTGAGATTTATGTCGACAAGATTCCAATCGAGTTTTGAGAATATTGAGTCTTTATTGAAGAAGCTCCACTGGATTTCGGTTTCCTCTGCTATTCGGCTACTGATTATCACCACTCGAAAATCCCTTTCCACTACAAACCAGCAAAGCTTTTCCCTTCTTTTCCCAACTGTTTTGATACGTTTGAGGACCAACAGAGTTGAGTGTTTTGGGGACCGATTTTTATCACTTTTTTTGTTCTTCAGAGCGCCTTATACCTGATATACACCCCTTTTTCTTTTATTTTTTTGGAAAAATTTAAATTATCTTGGGTAGCTGATTTTTGTTTAATTATGTTGCGGGGATACAAGCACATTCTTGAGGATTTTCTGGGTATTGAAGGAGGTGCCGATGGTGGTGCTGGAATTGGAGGAGGTGCAGGTAGTGGTGGTGCTGCTGGAGGCAGCGTTGGAGGTGCTGATGGAGGAGCTGGAGTTGGAGGAGGTGCAGGTGGTGGTGGTGCCGCTAGAGGTGGCGCTGGAGGAGGTGTAGGTGGTGGTGTTGGGGCTGGAGCTAGTGTTGGAGGAGCAGGTGGTGGTGGTGGAGTTGGAGGCAGTGCAGGTGGTGGTGCTGGTGCTGGAGGTGGCATGGGAGGAGGTGCAGGGGGTGGAGCTGGTGGAGGAGTAGGTGGTGGTGTAGGTGGTGGGGCTGGTAGAGATTGGTAGTGGAGTTGGGGGTGGAGCAGGCGGGGAAGTAGGAGGGGTCCTTGGAGGCATTAGTGGGGTGCCAGAGGTGGAGCAGGTGGAGGTGTAGGAGGAGGAGCCCGAGGAGGCGTTGGCAGAGGTGCTGGAGGTGGGGCCGGTGGCGGAAAAAGGGGTGGAGCAGATGGTGGCTTTGGGAAAGGTGGAGGTATAGGAGGTGGTGCAGGTGGTGGTTTTGGGGCTGGAGGAGGTTTTGGTGGAGGGCATGGGGGATTTGGTAAGGGTGGAGGAGTTGGCGCGGGCGGTGGATTCGGAGGCCGGACTAGTCCTAGAATTGGACGTCGCAAATTGTGATCTCACTGACGCAGTTGAAAAGAAATAAAGCAAAACTGGGCAATTTTTAAGCAATGGGAGAGGAGTTCGGACAGCCTTTGGAGACTTTGTTAGTCAAGAATCCAAGGTTTAGAATTGGATCCTTCAAGGATTTTACTTCTTTTGTTATTGTCCCAATGAACTACCCAAAATACCCTTACTTAATTGTTCAATTAGTGATTTGATTGAATTTATACGGTGGCGCCGCCGCGAAATTCCTCAATTGGAACCGTTAAATAAGTATAAGGTTCAAATTGATCAAAAAAAATATACATGGACTAAATTAACACAGAAAAAAAGTTTAAGGACGAAATTGACTATTTACCCTTGAATGTTTTATCCAACTAAAATGCGATCCAAAAGATGCGGGAAAAATCCATTTTTCATCCCTAAACTTTGACACAAAGACATATTTAGTCCTCAAACTTTTCAACAGAACACATTGAGTACCTGAATTACTAATTTTTTGCCACATTTAGTCAAAAAAGGAGAAATTGCTCAATTTGGACGGAGAAAATCATGTGAGACTCACGTGGCCGTTAACAAAAACACAATTATCCGTAAAAATGTTGGTAGAACCCACTATTTTATTCTCTCTCTACCAGGGTTGCTTTTCTCCTCCAAGCTTCCCCTTTCCAAATACAAAGTTATACAACAACAGAGAGTAAATCCCTTTATTGCTTGACTAAATACAACATTGGCGATTGAAAGCCAGAAAAAAGGGCAGGAGAGCAGAGGCCAGCAATCAATTAGGATTTTGATGCTTGCATCGATTGTAATCAGTACAGCGCCCATTAGCAGCATTAACTTGGACTATGCAATTGCTGTATTGAGCCACACTACAAACTGGCTTCCTCTGAAGAGCTTTGTACCCAATTGTATTTTGCTGCTGGGATTGCAGCCATCTCCCAGGTGTAGCATAGGGCCTGAGAACCTCACCTTCAGATTCCATGCTGCCTTCCAAGAAGCACGTGGAAAAGGTACCATTGCACGGTAAACCAGCACCCTTTATTGGGGAAGAAACTGAAGCCCCTGTCAAGTTGCTCCATAGGATGAGGAACAAAATGAGGAAAGAAAGACCAGTATTCTTCTTCCTCTTGAAGCTGAAGCTCATGATGTCTATCGTTATTAATTCCGTTATGCTATCTTCTTCTTCCTCTTTTTTTTCCCCCCTCACTTTCTTCAATCAAGAATCTCTGGAGGTTATCAGCAAAGCAGAGACATGGGGCTATAGGAGGTCTGAAGGGGGTATTTAATTCACTAATTTCTATTTGCTACTAAAATCAAACTATGTGATTGCAGAAGTCGTAGGATGTGCACGGACAGCAGTACTGCTAGTGATAGTGATTTTTTGAAAAAGTAATGATCAGGAAGTTTTTGTTAACGGCCACGTGAGTCTCACATGGTTTTCTCCGTCCAAATTGAGTAATTTCCCATTTTTTAACTAAATGTGGCAAAAATCAGTAATTCAGGTACTCAATGTGTTCTGTTGGAAAGTTTGGGGACTAAATGTGTCTTCGTGTTCAAGTTTAGGGACGAAAAGTGGATTTTTCCCCAAAAGATGCAGACCAGCTGCTACTTGACACCATGGACCTACCACTAGTCTCTACACACTACACCCAAGGCGAAGGAACGGTCCACCCTAAGGAGCTAGGATGGCTGGTCCAACAGTCACTGAATGGGTATATGATGTATCTTATCATTTATGTGATATAGTGTCCCAGAACTCTATTTTTAGATCCTGGGCCAAGGTCTACCAGCGTAGAAATTGCTATAAGTAATTGTAGTATTCTTGCCAAAGTTCCAGAAGGGAATAGGTTCTTGGATTTAAACTGTGAAAGAGTTGAGATCTGAACTATGGCCGCAAAATACATTACGTCTCATCCCTTTATTCATTACGTCTCTGAATGTCTTGTCCAACCAAAATACGTTCCACAAGATTCAGAGCAGCGAATATACCTTGCACCATGGGATCTGTCGCTGGCCTCAATACACTACAACCAAAAAGGCCTCCTTTTTGCCAAGCCTCCGGCTTTTGATAGTGAGGGGAAAATGAAGGACTTCTTGCAGAAGCTCAAAGAATCTCTTTCGCTTACCTTGGTTCATTTCTATCCCTTAGCTGGACGCCTTGCAACTCTAAAACAGGAAAATCCTCCAATTTATTCCATCTATGTTGATTGCACGAATCTTCCCGGAGCTAAATTTGTTCACGCATCAGTAGACTTGACCATTGACGATATTCTCACACCTATCTATATGCCCAAAATTGTACATTCATTCTTTGATCATGTTGGTGCAGTCAACCATGATGGTCATTCCATGTCTTTGATGAGCATTCAGGTGACGGAATTAAAGGATGGCATCTTCATTGGATGGTCAACCAACCATTTGCTGGTGGATGGGACGTCATTTTGGCATTTCATCAACACATGGTCCGAGGTGTTCAATGCCAAGGGGCAAATTTCAACCATCTCCAGACCACCTATTTTGAAACGTTGGTTTCCTGAGGGACACAGATCCCCTGTTATCAGCCTTCCATTTACTCACCATGATGAATTCATCAGCAGATTTCAAACCCCTGAGTTGCTGGAAAGGTATTTCAACTTTTCAGCAGAGTCGTTGGCGAAACTCAAAGCAAAAGCAAATGCTGAATGCAACTCCCCCAATATTTCTACCTTCCAGGCACTGTCAGCTCTCCTTTGGAGGTGTATCACAAGGGCTCGAAACATGCCAGCTGATCAACAGACAATTGCTGGAACGTCTGTAAACAGCAGGTTAAGGATAAATCCGCCCTTGTCCGAGGAATATTTTGGTAACTGTGTACAGGGAGTGGCAGTAACCACTACTCGTGGTGAATTGCTGACAAATGGACTAGGATGGGCGGCCTGCAAATTGCACGAGCTGGTGATCAATCAATCAAACGGACAGAAGTATACGCGACTGGGTTGAATCATGGGTGAAATCGCCCTTCATAGTTTGGATTGGCCGGTTTTCCAACAGGATCCAAATTGGAAGTTCTCCCAGGTTCAATATTTATGGGAGCGAATTTGGACTTGGCAAAGCATTAGCAGTTCGAAGTGGTTTTGCCAACAAACCTGATGGGAAAATAACGTTGTTTCCCGGAAGAGAAGGCGGAGGAAGCATGGACGTGGAGGTTTGTCTTCCACAGCAAACTATGAGTTTTCTAGAATCTGACCAGGAATTCATGGAGAATGTCTCATCATAAAGTTCCCTTTGAAATAATCTTGGTGATCATTCCATAAGATCAAGAAATGGGCTCATCATTCCTTTAGGCAGCACTCTGAACCTTACATTCAGATATTTCTAGTCCATGGATTAGTAGAATGTACTTCAGGAAAAAAAGAAAAAGAAAAAAAAAAGAATAAATGTGGGTGCTTTGTGGCTCTAGTTTTGATACGTAGTAGTTTATGCATGTGGTGGAGGCTTATTGCACATTATCTTCTTATACAATAATGTTTTATTTCACAAATTGGTGACCAAATGTTTTATTTACCGTTTTAGTAGCAGTAAAACGTTAGTGTTTGTTAATATTTGATCCTAAATAACTTAACAGAATTTATTTGACAACGCAGTTACTAAAATACCGAAGAGGTATAATAGGAAGTATTATACATAATATAATATGAATTCTTTTTTAAAAAAATAATTGGAATTTCAGTGCAAAAACAAACTAATACAAAAATACGCATATAAAATTGTATGTGAATGATACAAATAAACACAAGTAAAATTTATATAATTGTCGAATATATTATATTCATATCACTTTTTATCTCTCATCCTAGTTATGAGATGCTAAATTTATTAAAATCTTATTAACTAATTACTTTTTCTGTGTAAATCTATCAAAACTATTGCATATGTTGCCACTATTTTGGATATATCTTGAAAGATATGTTATTATTCTTACTCAAACTTTAAAATTTTTTAAAAAATATGAAGTATAATTCGTGACATATAATACTTCAACGGTTTATCACGTATTTCATACAATTAATTGAAAAATATAAGTATTTTTTGTAGTATTTTTGAAATGTACAAATTTGACAACTCACAAAAATTAACAAGTAATAGCATAACAAAATAGAGTAGTAGTATCCAAGACCCAATTTACTTGTGACAGCCCCACCTTCCCCTAAGGTGAACCAAAGAGGTTAGCGGACTGCCTGCCCAACTCTCGCCAGAACTAACGGTGCAGTATAAAGCGATCTATCACGTTCTGAAACTTATAATGCGCGCAAACAAGGCAAAGGGCAAAATAACCCAAAATAAAAGAAATGAAATCCAGAGTCGGCCATGAATAGTAACCGACCCGTCCGAAACCCAACCAAACATCGAAATACACAGACAACATAACATTAACCATTTACAAGCCACAATGGCATTTAAAAGTGATACAAAAGTCACTACATGTGTGGGTTGCCAAAACAAAAGTGAAAACGGCCCTAATGATACATTTAGGGTCCCATTTTATATACAATACAAAAGAGGCATTCATCTAGTTCATTCGGCAACCATTTAACAAAATTCATTCCAAAAGAGTCATATTCCTGTAAGGAAAACAAAAGAAACGGGGTGAGTTAAGTGCCCAGTGAGAATACAACCACCATAGCAACTAAGATCACATAAGCATAACCGTTCAGTTCAAGTATGCAAATAAGAAGTAAATCAAATCAGTGAAAGGATACGGACGGCTCTCAAGAGCCCATTTCCTCGCTTATTTTCTTGATCCAACCTCATTGACCCTCCGTCAATGTTAAAAGTACCAAACCGTAGACCTCACTTTACTTCCATTCCTTCCACCCAACATACCCCAACCGGGTCTGCACTCCAATTCAGTAGCTTTTGGTAATACTCGAGTAATACCGGAACCAAGAGTCTCATTACTACAGGGTTCCTCAGTACAGTCCCCGTGGCATGACAATTTTCACGACCAATCCCGCGCCGGCTCGATCCAATTG